ATGCAAATCAATTAGATTTGTTAAGGATACACTATAGTGTGATCAATTCGAATAGTTCAACAAAAGTTTTTGTTGGAAATCCTTCATTATTAATTAAAACTTAATACTGCACAAATGCTTTTAATTCTTAAATTTAATTGGAAAACAAATTTAACATGTATCTTTTAAAAGGTTAAAATTTATAATAAATCCAATTGTAAAATGCTAACATTTATTGATCATTTTACAAGTTCTCGAGATATTATTTTAAAATATAATAACATAAATTTGTTTTCTAACCTCAGATTGTTTAGAGGCACATCTTAGTTTTGTGAAGACAAAAAAAAAAACAAACAAAGAAAAAAGAATTGAAGATAGGGTTATTTTCCTCAGAAACTCTCATGATAAATTTTTTTTATCTTAGTTAAAGGAAAACTTTTTCTTTAAGCTGACACTATGTATTTACCTAGAGATAGAAAAGGATGGGTAGGGGAGAAGGGAGAATGTTTAAAACTTAATAAATTAGCTATGAAAATGTGGGGTACTAACTGATGTAGTTTCTGGATGTCAGTAAGATTAATAAGCTTAGACTTCCATGATACCTGTGACTATAGGTTCACTCATATTTTTCTGAATTTTAGAGTTCTTTCTTGGAGCATTGGTATTAGGTTTAAGAGAGCTTTCTCTTGAGATCCCCAGATTTGAGCATTTCATTTAAGATCACAAGTGTCATCTTCTGATCACCACTGTTCAGCCTCATTGTGAAATCACTTCCAAACTGGTGTCCCCGCTTCAAAGGATTTGGGGCGTGAAGCTGCTTTGGTACCGCAAAAGCTGTCTGTGTGTGTGGGTAAAGCAAACAAGACTAATTCTGTGTGGAGTGTATACTACAGAGCTCCCTGAACGTGTCTGATCTTTGCGGCACACACGTTGGAAGGGAAATCTGAACAACCACTGGCTTGCTGCTTATTAATCTGCCCGTTTTCTACTTCATGTCTAGATACAAAATTCACCCAGAACTAAATATTTTAACTTGATTGTTTTAACAACATTATACATATGACTTTAACTTTCTAGACGCATTAAGTAGTCTTTTTTTAAGTTTAAAATAACCATTGATTGGTTTAAGCTTATTGACTTAAGAACAAATAAAACCCTTAAATGGCGTATATATACCAAAGTAAATAGATATCAAATGTGTGATATGATTTTAGAAAACACATTAAATCAGAATCAACAAAATATTGGATTTTTGAAATTATGTGACATAGAATGGACTGGTGTTTCCAATTTGAGAACATTTTGAGAGATTTATGAGTTTCAGCATATCTACATTTGATTTTTCTTTTTGTTACCTGCCTTAAAATATTTAGAGTGGAAAAAACAAAGCATTTTATCATTTAAATTAGCATTATTAGAAAAGCCAATGAAACAGTTTGAATATTATAACTTAATATACTTAAATAGATTATTTCCTCAGCAAATAGACAGAAATATATGCAAACTTTTATTGTAAATGTCTTTGTCCAAGAAGTGTGATTGTCCCATTAACTTCTTAATCACTTTTATTATAATTTGAAAAGGCTTTGACATTTGATGTTGAACATATAATGACTAATTTTTAGCATGCTCAAATTAAAGAATCAAATGAAAGTACTAATATGTCTTTTGTAATAAATGTAGTGTTCACACATATAAGGTGAATTTTAGAAAATCCTAGATAAATTTACCCTCTAAACTTGTAAGCCAGTATTCCCCACAATGTATTTTTGCCATTGTTATAGCAAGATATTAACAGATACTAGGTGAGGGAATAGATTCTGTGATCAAATGATTATTCTTTATTGTAGAATTTTTAGGACCTTTTGTGTGCACATTTGCAGTATAAATCTGAAAGATAGGATAGTGAACAAAAACCTGCTCTTTAACAATTTCACTTATTTTCCTTTCCTATAAGTACAGCATGTCCACATCGGAGCTGAAAGTTTAGAAATTATGTATTTCATCCCCCAGCCAGAGAATGTGCAGGTCTTTTTCTTGCAATGATTTCTCTAAATTGCTTCTTCATTCCTCAGGGAAAGAAAAAAGAAGACTGAGTTTGGTTGAAACCAAAATAATGTTGTTGAAAATATTATTTCCAGGTCATTTTTCCTTAGGAAAGAAGACCAGCAAAGAAAAATGAACTTGCTGGTGAAGAATGTTTTATGATGGATCTCGTTATCAGTAGGATACATTCTTCTCCAAAGATATTATTGTTTGTGGAGTGTTTTCTTTATGAGAATAGGTTGATGACATGTAGAAAAGGGATGGAATGGAAAACGTCATCTGAGCCTAACAGGCATGTGGGGTTCCTCTCCTAAGGACTAGCATCATAGGAGAATTTTAAGTTGTAAGTTACATGTATATTTACCCAAGTTTGCTGACTATATATTCTCTAAGGTGGTCCCTTGATATTACATCAGCTAAGGCTCTAACAATATTTTTCCATTTAGGACCATCTATAGATGATGATTGAGTCCAGAGTTGAGAGATGTGTTTGAGATTGGAATTTAGTTGAGAACACATTTGAGAGTTTAAGATGCAAACTCTATTTACAGATTAGTATCTCTCTTATGCCTCCCAGTTATCTGTTAAATGTAAGTGATAAGATCATCATAAAATTCCAATTCTACAAAATCTCTAAACCATTACTTAGCAATATTAAACCAATATACTTGAACACAGGGGTCCCACAAACTGTGGCCCACAGATCAAATCCAGCCTGCTGCCTGGTTTGTAAATAAGGTTTCATTAGCATACAGCTGAATTCTTTTGTGTATGCATTGTCTGTAGCTGCCTTAATGTCACAGTGGCAGAGTTTTGACAGAAATCATACGGTATGCAAAACCTAGGGCATTTACTGTTGGGCCCTTTACAGAAACATCTGCTAGCTCCTCCAGCATATAACCCATACTACCTAGTAATCAGAAAGAATCTAATGCAGCTTCATCAGAGGTTGATGTTCAGAAAATAGTCTAAATACTAGAAAAGACATATATTTGTATGTGTGTGTGTGTGGATCTGTATGTATGTGTATGTGTGTGTGTGTGTGTGTGTGTGTATATATGTATATATATATAAATTGTATTTAAACTTTTGTCAGTTGGTGCTATTCATATTTAAAATACTATTTTCAAACTATAATATCAAAATGAAACATTCTAAAAGAAAACTTCCCAAACTCTCAATGTAGTTAATATTTTTTCAGTATGCATATTTTTGATGCCTGGATGGCATCCCTTGCTCTTGGATAAAATAAACAAGTTTTATCTTATATCTTGAGAATATCTCCTGAGGTACAAACAATTCTAAACCTGTATTTTAATCAATTAATAGATATGATACTTGACTATATTTCACATTCATGTCATAGAAGCACTCAATTGATGTTATGTGTCATTCAGTTGATGTTAACATGATATGTTTATTCCTATTTTATAATTTGACACATAGCATAATCAATTATCAAATTTTTATTAAAATGTATCTCTTAAAATGAACTGATTGCCTCACTTTATTGAATAGTTGATTTAAATTTGGTGTTATACTTAAAGGTCATATAATGTAAAGTCTTTATACATTACTTTATTTAAGATTTTCTTAGTCCTCTTTGAAACTCCCCCCCTTTATATTATTTAATTAATTGATTTCTGCTTAAAATTTGTTACTATCAAGAACTATCAGATATATAAATTTTTTAAGAATGAATATGAAAATGCCTACCTTTAAACAGGCACATTTTTATCCCAGATATCTTTATTGCAGTTTAAAGTTATGATCTTAAGCAAGGGGTATGAATGAATGTGTATTACATTCCTACCTACACTCAGTGCATGTGCATTTACTTGACAACATTTTATTATAGTTACCAGCCCACTAAGCTATGATTATTTTTCCCAGTTTGAAAATTTGTAGCATACAATTGAGATTTTGTTTTTATTTGTTTTTTTACTTGGGAAATGGAATCTTTAATAATAAAAGTGTAATATGCTAATTAGACCAGATGTCCTTCTGGACGTCCTTCCGGATGTCCTTCCGGACAAAGCCACAGCAGGCGGGGGCCCTGGCCATCATGGAGGCAGGGCCGAGGCAGCCACTGCGGCCATGGCAGGGGCTGAGCCCCTTGCACAATTTTCGTGCATTGGGCCTCTAGTTTTCCTATAAAATGTCTAATAAAAATCACAAATATACTTTTAAAACACTTTCTTTATATTTGTTAACAGAACTTAGTTATTGTCCTAACGAAAGTTTTTAAAGACTCCCCCTTACTGATGTATCTTGATGTGTCTACCTATTGTAGAGGGCATTAATCTCATTTTAAAAGCTTACCATCTCGCTCTCTCACCTCCTCACTTTTTTTCTTTTTCTGAAATGACTTCAGTAATACTTTGTGCCTTTACTGTCATGATTTCTTCTGAGTAGTATTATTCTAAGTGCTTCTTTCTTGATCCCAGTTCTTGAAAATTCAAGTTCAAAATATATTGATAACTGCATCCATATGTATGCTAGGGCAACCTGTTATAATACATGGGCTAATCTTATTAAATTAGCCCAATTGTAAAATTGTATTTGAAACCAATTAAACTTACAACTTTTCTCCAGTAAATAAAGTCTTGATGTATTATAATCCAAAGTTTTTATAATAGTACAATGGTCAAATTTATGTGCTGTCAAATATATATTCCTTGACCTACTATATGTATCAGAAAGTGTTTTCTGTCTAGTGAAGATTTGTTTGTCTTTTGTTTAAATTCATTTACATTTTCTTCAGATTAAAATTATTTAATATATTTCATAATCATGCTTTTATTTGCAAAATTGCATACTTTAAATATATCTAAAAATAATAAATTTAATTTGCATATATTACCTTGAATGACAGTAATATATCAGCCTAGCGATTCTTCTTTTATACGTCCTGTAACTAGGGCTCACAAATAAGACCTGCACATTAATTTTATGGGTTTTTTTCTACTCGATAGGTGCTATGGATATAGAGGAGAGAAATCGCCAAATGAAAATTAACAAATACAAACAGGTAGCCGGATCAGATCCCAGACTGGAACAAGATTACCATTCAAAGGCAAGACATTTTTCTTTTTAAAAGTTGTAAAATAATCAATCCTATGAAACTATTAGATTCTTTTAAACAGCTGAATGCAGATTAGTCAGACATGAACATATAATTCAATAGCCCCATGATAGTATTAAATGCTGAAATTTATTATGTATGTGTATACCAACTTTTAGGTAAAGAATTTGCCTTATATTTTTAAAAAATCATTTTATAATATAGGATATTAAAGGAATGAAACTCATAGATGGTCTGGAAAATAATTATCTTAGACTTTTTCATTTTATAAAACCTATAAAGGTTCTAACACGCTCAAAGTGTTTAAGAACTATTATCTTCTTACTGTTTTCCTACACACAAATAGATTTTTTAATTTTATAATATTTTAACTGAATCTGGTTTACAAATGAGGTTTTAGAAAAAAATACATACTCATGAGGTGGTGTAAGGAGTTCAAAAGGTTTTTTAGCAAAAGTCTTTTTAAACTACTTTTTGGGAATAAGTTGAGGTCTGAGGTTTACCAAGGTAGGAAAAAAGTATTTCATTGCTCTTGCTCTTCATTGCCTTTATATTTTCAAACTATTTTAAAGTTAATGATATCATTAATGGCCAAAGTCATGGGAAAACTTGTTCTAACGTACCTATTTAAGAGTTAATAAAAGGAATGAAAATCACAAATCTTACTCATAACATTTAGTTAATATGTATTCTATGATTTGGTAATTTAATCATTGCAATCATGTCATATTTGTGGTTTATTTATCTGTGTGATAGAGAAAAGCAGTTTGGATTTTTATATACTTACAAATAGTTTATATTTACCTTTTAAACCTTCAGTTTCTCTCCATTATACTCCATTCTTTGGTAAAGTCAAGACTTACGTAAACTTGTACATGTGTAATAAGTAAAAGGAGTTTCTAGATTCTCCACTATATAACCTAGAAGAGGCAGAGATTCTTACATCAACATCATCTTTCAAGCCACAATCTCTTCCTCAAATACTGACACAGTGAACATAAGATTGTTCATCACAAAATTCTGGTGTGCTGGAAATGGCACAGCCTAAAGCCAAGAGAGATAAACTTAAGGCAAACAAGAATAGCCTTGCCTTTACTCATCGGGTTCTGAACTTCTAGAAATTGTTCTCTAAAATAAAAGTATGAATAACTTGAAACAGGTTTGGTGAATTTCACAGAAAATAGTTTTGTAATGGTATATTTCAGATACATCCCTAACCTTTTGAACTTGATATCAGAAGTGATAGCTCTGCCTTCCTCGGTATTTTTTTATATTTCTTCCTTGGGCTATATAGATAGACCTGATCTTATGTGGCCTCTGTTATGCTCTAATCTCTCATTCATTTCATATAATCCTAAGACCACGGCATGAAGTCCTAATAAAATAGGATATTAAAACTTTCGTAGACATGTCTTCAGATAACACAAATTTATTTTATTAGCTTGTTTATACCCCACGATACTTCAGGAATGTAGGTAATTTTTAAAAATATATATAATACTTTCAATAGTATTGTCAATGAAGAAATGAGTGTCAGGAGAAAATGAAGTCAAGACAAAACACGGTAAAGTTTGTGAGCAAAATGCAAGGTGAGATCTTATATACCTGCCCTGTGTGGAGCTTCTACTTTGACCATGAGCTTCCCAACAAGCAGCAAAGGCAGAAAGAGAAAGTGCGTTGGTTGTATGATTTACATAGTTAAATGCAATAAAAACAAGTCCCTTAAAAGCAATTGCAATGATAATTACTGTGGATATATGACAGGAATTTCTTATAGGAGGATTGACAAAAGAACACTATAGGCATGACTCAAAATATTTTTCAGAAAAACAAGTTTTGATTCCATTCCAGTATATAAATAAATGAATGTCTGAGGCTTCAAGCTTACATAACTTTGGCACTATTTATTGCAGGCTAGAAAAAATGTAAGTCTTGGCAAAGGACTAATTATACTAAGCAATATAATTTCCTAAACACCTTCTATGGCAGTGGTTTCAAGTGGTTTTCCTGGAGAGTCAGCATCACCTGAGGACTTTCAGGATGTAATTCCCTGTAATTATAGATGGTTCTTCATCAGTTAAGAGCACATATAGATTTGGTTATTATTAATTTTCCTACTAACAGTTCCTTAGATAGAATTCTCAACAGCATTCTTTTCTTTTTAATTATGGATATTTAGCGTTATATTTTCATTCTTTTCTTCCTTATTTTGATAACAAGTGCCAATTAAAAGCTTGTTTTGAGCTAAGTACATTTAATATATTAGATCTAATTCTTAAAAAAAATCATTTAACAGATGAGGGGACAAAGATATAGAAAGTTTATGTAATCTATCCAAATTTACATGGCCACTAAGTCATGGAAAGTATTATTTGTAGCTAACCTGCTTTTCAGATTTGAGATATCTGAGATTGCATCCGAAGCCTCCGACATGTGGAGCACATGCTGTACCCCTGAGCTGTGTCCCGAAATGCCAGTGAAGCTGTCAAGGAGCGTTGATGTGATGTCATCAAGTGTTAGCGAAGTTTCTTTTTTAACTACACCCTCCACATTTTACATGGCATTGCCTCCCTGCACTTTGCAAGCTTCTGACTGATAGTTTGTAAGCAACGCTTACTAATTTTCCAAAACTCTCTTTAATAATCACCAGGCAAGCATCTCTAGAGAAATGCCTATTGTTACCGTCATCCTAAGAATATTTTAAGTATATTAGGAAATAAAAAGCAGAGCATCTTTATTTAATAAGAATGGCAAAAGGCATTTGCAGATATGATTTCTATTTAATCAGTGGATGATTTCTTGTTTTTTTTTTCCCCTCAAAACAGAATTTAACTGTGTAGCCAATGCACCCTTGCATGTCTATTGCATTCTCCTTATCTGTTCTACTCTTGGCAGATGTTCAAAGATCAACTTTTATTTTTTCTATAAAACCAACATTCTCTGCTCTTCATTGGTTCAGAAAACTGGAATTTATCTATTAAATTTAACAGAACAAATTATAATTCAGCATAGACCAACTACCTTCTGGGAGTTATATAATTGTTAATTAATATAATTAGCAATAATTGAAAGTCAAACCATGCGGATAGTATATCTGGAAATTGATATGGGGAATTTGATCATTTTATTTAAATATGATTTTTACTTTTTACATTAGCCGTATTTGATATTTTAAAATTATCTCAGAACCTGTTTTTAAAAGGGTAGTCCATAACATTTCAACAGAGACTGCTATACAATTCATTGGTACAGTATTTATTTGGAACTCAAAGCCTATTTCTCTGTAGAACCCGTGCCCTATATAAAATGGCAATAATATTCCCACAGAATCATCACAAAAATATCTAACCCCATTATAGCACTTAGGTTATTACTTTCTGAGTTCTTATTTACTTCTCTAGAGTTCAGTAGTATAGCCCTAAATTGCTTAGACCTTTTCAAGGTGGACCATAAGTCCATGCTAATTCATTCAACCCATAATCTCAACGATGTAGCAAAAGGAAGGACAGGTGAATCTTCGAGGGATATGGAGATTTAAAAATACAAAAGGAGAGTGGAACATAATATGTGCTGAGAAATTACAAACTAAATTACTGAAATTGAGTAATTATGTTGCCACGGTTGATATTAAACATGCCTGGCCCTTGTGAAGTGGTTAACAGGTACACATGTGGGTATGGGGATTTAACAAGAAGTGCAGTACTCCTTATTAGCGGTGACATAAACCGATCTGAAAAACCAAAAGACTAAATTTATATAAAGCAAATTTTAAAATGTAGATTGGATGGCTTTACACAAATTACTAAGAAGACACATGAAAATACAGGCATTTATAAAAGTGAAGAAATGAAAGATATGCTATAATTTTATAGCAGTGATTGAAATAAAATGTTAGAGAGAGAAAAAAATATTGGCCTAAGCAGCAAAGTTGAGTTGCTGGTAGCATATGACACCTTCCAATAACGTTCTGGGTGAGCTGGGCTAGTGCCACTGGAGAGAAATCTGCAGCCTCAGTTCTCAAGCTGCCAAGAGACCCTGATTCACATAAAACAGACACCATGGTGCCAGTGTTAGACCGAACCATCTGATGGAGAGACCTGGAGAATTCTCATAGGAGTGAGCTCATAACCCAGGCCCTGCAGGAGTAGCTTAAGATGTCCCTTAGAAGTAATGAAGCGTCCTTTTTTTGGAATAGTCTACTGTTTCATGAACAGAGGTAGGATTCAGATTTCAAAAAAATTCCTGTCTGCTCTTAAGGGACTACGTGATTCCATTGGGCCCAAATGGGTAAGTCTAGCCAGGTATCCAGCAGAAAGATTTCAGTTTTTTTTTAATAAGAATTAAGATCACCTACTCATAGTTCTCAGCCCAAACCAGGTCAAGAAACCTTACCAATCTCCATGCATATAAGGATAACCAATGGACATAAGACACTGGGGGGTAGAGGAGGCCAGGGGATTGTCAAGGGCGGGGGGAAAAAAAGGACACATATGTAATACCCTTTGTAATACTGTAAGCAATAAAAAAAAAATTAAAAAAAAAAGAAACCTTACCAATCGATCTTAGCGGCCACACCAGGATGTCTAAGCTTCAATTCTACTTAGTAAAATTTTTCTGCTGTTGTGTTTATTTCTGCACAACCCTGCAGTCAGATAGCTTCATGTTCTGTAGCAAAATCTCAAGAGAACCCAGCCTCCACACCTTTAATTAGTCGCCTGCTATGTACTTTTTTACATCATTCCAAGGTTTTTTCTTTACCAAGTGTATTTATGAAGAGAAATAAAACTAGATTTTAAAATCTAGATAATTAAACTATTAAGAGTTACAATATGGTCCTAGAAGCACAAGAGATATTAGGGCTAATCTTTATCATGACCTGATTTTAAAACCTTTAGTCTCCCCTACGAGATCGACAAGTGCTAATTAAAAGTGAGTCATGGATTGAATGAAAAACTAGATAAGGTCATATTTTAAAAGACTTTATATCCTAT